CGAACATTCTTTATCTTTCTAAAATGACTTGATAATTTTAATTTAATTTATTTGGGTGCTTTTGAATATTATTAAATTCACATCTTTGTTTTATGGGATCAAAAATCAAATTAAGTTCGAATTTGTAAAGTTCATTGCAAAGCCGTTAATTAATTGACTAGGTACCGATTTAGGGCGTTGTGGGGGTGCTAATCCTTCCCCACACGTAACTGACTCCCGAACTCATTTTTTGGTAACGCAGACCTCAATTTGTTGTTTTAATTAAAATTAATTTTTATTTAAAATGACAAAGCGTTTTTGGGTGCCCAATCACACCCTAATCAAAGATTGGTGGCGACTCTTCGAACCGTATTTTTCGATCGTAAAGGAAATCCAAAATTTTTCGAAACGAGAGGTCTTTTAAATCGCATTTGTTTTAAAATTAAAAAGAGGATAATTAAGAATTAATGTGGTTTTCAAAATCTCGCTTTCTCATTTTTAAAGAAAAAAATCATTTCGACAAAATTTTAAATGATATATTAAGGGTAAACTACTCTAATAGTCATTAATGTTGGGTAATTTTCGTTTTCACCATTGATGTTTCAAAAGTTACAAATCGGTCACTAACGTTATCATTTGTTACAAATTGGCCACTCGTCGTTAACAGGCGTGACGGAAAACACACCTGGCCTGTTAACTGTTGTTAACAGGCTTACTTGGATGGTATAATTACACAAATGGTTCATGTTATTTATATATTCTTTCGATTTGATCCTAGTTTTAATAAATTAAAATATATTTATTTTAAATTCTTTTAAATAATGATATATTTAAAAAAAGGAAATAAAAAATTTAAAATTAGTTATAAAAACAAAAAAAATAACTTTTTTTAATGTTAGGTTAAACTAATAAAAACAAAAAATTAACCTTTTTTTTAATAAAATTAACATTTTTCTTCCCCAAACTTTTTTTTAAAAAATTAATACTAATATTAAAATCTTGTTTGTGAATAAATTTTTTTCAATTGGTGCATAAAATTTTTTAAAATTAATTTTATTAAGTTTTTCATTTTCTGAACAATATTATAATTTAATTTGTCATTAAATCTTTTAAATTAAATTTTATCACAACATAAATTGTAAATTTAATTATTGTTATTGATATGATAAAAAATTAATAAGCACATAGGTCATGAAATTGTTTAGGGAATGGACCGAACTGCATCCGAAGTGACTCGTAATGATATCTTCGGTGAATATTCCAAGAGCTTTGTAGATTGGGTAAATTATGGAGATTTTCTTCTTCCGATAATCGTCAAGTTGAACTAGTTCGTTATAGATTCGTGATAGAATTCATTTCAACCACAAGAAGAAACAAATTGAATCCATCGATGGATAGATTCGAGATAATAAAAATAAATCAGTCGAAGATCTTGCTTCTTCCCGAGGAAAAGCAAAATTTCAGCTCGTGTTATATCCGATGATACAACCACATTTGCTTTAAACACGATGAATTCATTAGGTGGTGTAAATTGGTGTCTATAGCTAATTCACTTTGGAGCTCCGATTGCCTCTATCTGCAAAAATGCCTTAGGGATTCCGATTTCTAATGCTTGTAAATATTTCATAAATAAATTTATGTCGTCTTATTGAGAGCCCCTTAACATTATTGATATTCCTGTATTTCCTTGTGCTTCAGTATAACATCTTTTTGGGAAATACATAAATTTGTATTCACAAATTTATAATTTCATGTTATGGAACTTTTGTCTGGTATATTATTATTAGCTTGAATATTGGAATTTTATATTTTCAAATCACTTCAAGTAATATTAAATTAAAATTTTGGACAAAAAATTACTTGGAAATTAAGTTTTTTTTTCCTTGAATCGTGGAAGAGGGAGGTGCTTCAAAAATATACTTCGTCATATCAATAATCAATAATCATAATATCATCACGTTAATTTTTTTCACGATTTATGTGCTTATTATTTTTTCATCATATCAATAATCATATTATCATCACGTTAATTTTTTGGTTTTTATAACTAAAAAACATTTAATTATTTTGTATAAAAATATATCATTATTTATAAAAATTAAAAATAAATATATTTTAATTTATTAAAACTATGATCACATTGAAAGAATATATAAATAGCATGGACTATTTGTGTAATTATACCATTCATGTAATCCTGTTAACTGCTGTTAATAGGCCACATGTGTTTTCCGTCACGCCTGTTAACGGCAAGTAACCAATTTGTAACAAACGATAACGTTAGTGATCGATTTATAACTTTTGAAACATTAATGGTAAAAACAAAAAATTACTCAAACATTAATGACCATTGAAGTAGTTTACCCATATATTAATTTGACATCCCTCCCACTTTTAGAATTTATAATTTAATCCCTAGTTTAAAATGTAAACTTTAACTTTTATTTAATTTAGTCTTAATTTCAGTAATATAAATTTCTGCAATTTAAATTTTACAATTTTATTTTATTTAATTATTTTAGGGTAAGTTGTGCGACATTTAAAAAAATTCATGACCGCGATACCCATAATAATCGTAATGACATTTGTTATGTTTGTAACTGTGATAAATATGATGCGATCGAAAACGTTACTGCAATATTTAATACCATGCTCTCTACCTCCAGAATTTGTGTGCATCTACAATTATTAGCTTATAGAAAACACAGAGAATACAATGAATTCTCGTGAGCCAACAAGTCGCCTAATTTGACCCGTCGCTCCCATGAGTTATATATATCGTGTATACATGTATCTCGTTTATGCAGAAAGTTCAGCCATTTGTTGGCTAAATTTGTCTACTTTGAACGCCAAGCAATAAGATATCAAATAAAGCTTTCATATTTAAAAAAAGAAAAATCTAATTTTCTTTAAATTATCTTTTGACATAATGTCAAAAATACACCTAACGTTTGATTAAATAGTCAATTTGGTCCTTATTCTTTCTTTTAAAGTATTTAGGCTTCAACGTTTTATTTTGGGACAAAAAGTCCCTCTAACAAACAGTTAATGCTCTAACATATGGGTCTTTTACCTTAAAATAAAATGTTGAGTGCTAAAACGATCCAAAAAAATATATAAGGTCAAATTAATTATTTGGTCAAATATCAAGGGTATTTTTACTCTAAAATAAAACGTTGGGTTGAAATACCCCTAATGGTTGACTAAATAATCAATTTAGTCCCTATTCTTTCTTTTGAAGTATTTAGTCATCAATGTTTCATTTTGATACAAACGATGAGGTCGAAACGTTTTGATATTCTCTGTGTATCATAAGCTAATAGAGATCAAATTATTTTGATAAATAATAATTATCAAAATTATTATTTTGATAATTTTGATACAATTTAGTCCCTAATTATTATTTTGATAAATATTAATTTAAAGGATTAATTTTGATATTATATTTTTTTCATCAAACGAGTTGTATCATGAATTTTTTTAAAAATAGAGTTAAACGAGTTGTATCATGATTTTTTTTTTAAAAATAGAGTTAAAACAGAATTCAAGTCACCAAAAGAAAAAGGACTAAATACCTTGATTCAAAAGATTAGAGACTAAATTTCAAATATGCAAGAAGTATAAGGACTGAGAATACAATTAGACCTGTAAAAAGACAGAAGGGAAAACAATGAATTCTCGTGTCTGTACGAAACAGTTGATGTGGTGTGTATAAATAATTGGGTTGTCGACGTGAATTGACAAGTTGCCTAATTGAACCCGTCTTTCCCATTGAGGCAAGAGTCACTGAAACTCATCCAATAATCAGACGAAAAGAAAGGGTAAAACTACTCTACCAGTTCATCTCTTACATCATGAATTGCATCTTGATCCCTATACTTTCAAAACGAGCAAAATGATGGTTTCTGGAACAGTTGAAAAGTTAATTTATATGAACTGAACTTAGTTACATGATATGATCTTAGTTTAAGCTTTATCGGATTAGTGAATATGTCGTCGCATCACTTCAAAATATCACTATATTTTAATTTAACATTAAAATATGTTAATTGAAACAAGTTTATTTTATTCACAATTGACAATTTATTCTTTTCGATCTGAAGACAGAATTATAAGCGGTAGGCAAATGGTTGTTAATTGGTGTTTCTTTATATGAGAGTAAACCATGAGGAGGGTGATGAGTCTCAAGGAGAGGAAGAAAGTGGAGAGAGTCCATCCTCTTTCTTGATCGTGTTGAGGAATATTTATAGTAACCCTAGTCTAGTGGTGTTAAGCATAGGATAATTGTGGCTATTTATAGGCTAAAGAGATAAATAGATATAATAGTCACATCTTAGATTTCGTTTTATAACGTCATATGGATCTGTCAGAGGTTTTATTTATATATTGTAATTGATTTGAAGGTCTATATTCGAAAGATGTGGGCTCCTTGAAGGCTCTGATAAACGATAGATTTTTAAAAAAATCTTGATAGAATGAAAACTAAAAATTTATAAAGGTCGTATCTAATTGGAACTTAATAATTTCTAGAGATCATTAACAAAAGTATAACAAAATCACTTAATTAATCTCATCTTATAAAACTACCATTTTTATCTATTGTAAAAATGAATATTTTCCTAGTCTTCCTAGCCACAATCTAAAGAGTGTACAATGTAGGGATCAAAATGAAATCTTTACTAAAAAACAAGGAGTTACACAATAATTTTACCATAAAAAGAAATAGAAGAATATGATCAAGATCAACTACAGATTGATCTAAAGAGGCACTGAAAGATGGTCAATGATTTTTTAATTAATAAACTTTTAAATATTATAAAATAATCATTAAATTTATTTAATTTACAAAATGAACATATATTATAAAATAATAATTAAATTTATGAAAATTTATCATTATAGTGTACTTTATATATAAAAAAAACAGTAAGAAAATGACAGCACTAGAGTTGAAATGGGACTCTGAGAAACGGCACTACCGGTAACAGTGCATCTGACAGAGGAAAACAGAAGGGACCAAAATGAGATTCCTCCAAATTTAGCAGACACCCATTTTCTTTCCCAGCCATCCAATTCATTTCCCCACAAACCAACGCATTGCACACTCTTCATTGCTTCAGATTCTCCATTAAAAAGCTCTCTCTTTTATCTCCTAAACCCTCAAAGCTCCTTTATTTTTTCCTTCTTTGCTTTGCCCAAAGTTCACACCTTTCACTATCCTTCTTCCTGCATTACCACTCACAGTTGAAATCTTATGGTCATTTTTTGCTTTCTCTGACCTTGTTCTTCTCTTGTGGATACTGAAACTGAGGTGGGTTTTCTTTCTTTTGCTCTGTTTTACTTGGAAAATCTTTGTTTTTTATTGTCAAGTTTGTGTTTTTGCTTGTACCCTTTTGTTTAGTTGATTATTGTCAATACATTTTGTTTTTCTTTTCTTTTAGTGTTTATTGAATTGGTTGAGTTGAGAATTCTTGCATAATCAAGTGACTTATGATGTAGCTTGGTAGTCCAACCTCAAGTTTTTAGTTCACTGGAATGTTTTGACTTGGGTAGTCTTTTAGTACTCATTAGTGTCTGGAAATCTATATCACATATACATATCTGGGGGTGTGTTGTTGATAATAGGATGGGATTATGGCAGAGATGGACGGTTCACCTCGTTAAGACAAGGCATAGAGCCGTCGGATACAGTGGGCTGAGGGAGTTGGAGAAAGAGGAGGATGACCTTTTAGAAGAGGAGGGGTGAGCATGAGTGAATAACCTAGCCTCTCTCCTCAAAGCTTCAACCTCTACAAGGAGTTTCCCTTTTCCGGCTATGACGCCAGCCACCTTATTATCGGAGAGTCGGAGGCAAGTGGGCTGATCCTATGGGTTTAGCTAGAGTGGTGCTATAATTTGCCTGAGGTCTCTTAAGTAAGGTAGGACCTAGTTGTTTGAGATAAGACTCGGAGGTTAATGAGGTGGGCTATCATGAGGGGTTTCCAGTGAGTGCTTATGGCGAGGGGTTCGAGCTAGTTGTAACATACATATATATTGCTATCACATGATTCAGATTTGGTCTATTGTAGAATTAAGATTCATAATGTCATGAAGAAGAATTTATAATAGGTTAGTTTTAGCAACAAAAAAGAGTTTGATTGATGAGTTAATGTTTGTTAACCTTTGAAGTTTTGAGGTCCCTTTTGAGAATTACACTACATTTGTGGACTTTATCTTGTTAATATAATATCATGGACTTTCTGAAATTTGTATAAATTAGTGGACTTTTTCATACATGTAAAATTTACATAATGGAGATATATGGTATGTTTCAGTCTACAATGCTAGGAGACAATTGTACTGATTCTGAAGCGGAGATTAAGGTGAGTTTTGGCTATCAATGCAACGGTCACGAAGGTATTCCTTGCGGGACTGGTAATAGGTATGGAATCGAGTCTGGACGTAAAATGCTGAGGAACCGCAGTTTCTCGTGTTTGTCTGGTGCTGCCTTAAGTGCTAATGCTACCTTGGCCAACACCAATATCTGCAATGGTCTGATAGGATATGATATTCTTCCTGGTTTGGACTCCCCTAATTCGTTTCGCAGGGTTCCTTCTTCCCCATCTCTTTCGAGGTTGGATCTATTATCGACTTCCCTGCAAAGCACTATGTCAAACTTAAGTTGCAGTCCACCGAGTTCGGTTGATTCACATGAAACTGATTCTTGTTTACGGCAGCCCATGAGTGCTCTCACTAGAAGTGACAGTTTCCTTAATGCTGTGGAAGTTCAAGTGGCGGGTGGAGCTGCGGGTGAAGATAGGGTTCAAGCTGTCTGTTCCGAAGAGAATGAATGGCTCTTTTGTGCCATCTATGATGGCTTCAACGGGAGGGATGCTGCAGATTTTCTTGCCGGGACGTTATATGAAACCATAATGTTTTACTTTAATTTACTAGACTCAGAATCAAAGAAGGATGTTCCCAGAGCACCATTTGAATGTTCTCTTGATGATAGTATGGCAGGTATTGAGGCTGCAAGTGCCGGAAGCTTCACGAGGAAAAGCGTGGATCCTGAAATGGAAGCGTCATCTCATTCATTTAGGCATCGGGTGCTTGATATCCTCCAACGAGCTCTAATTCAAGCCGAGAATGATTTCTTGCACATGGTAGAGCAGGAAATGGAGGACCGCCCCGATTTAGTTTCTGTAGGATCTTGTGTTTTGTTTACGCTTCTTCACGGAAAAGATTTGTATACACTCAATTTAGGTGACAGTCGAGCTGTATTGGCGACATTTGATGAAGGCAACAGCATGGGTCAGTCCGAAAGATTGAAAGCTATTCAGCTCACAGATAGTCACACCGTTGATAACGAAGTTGAAAGAACTAGACTCTTGAATGAGCATCCCGATGACTGTACACCTGTAGTAGCTGGAAAAGTGAAAGGAAAATTGAAGGTCACCCGTGCTTTCGGAGTCGGTTACTTGAAAAAGGTCGGTTCTGGTTATTCTCATCATCACTTATAGTTTTCGTTCTTTATATTTCCCCCGTTTTGAAGATCGACTTTCACTGCATATTAACATGAAACCGATGTTTTGCAGAAGAAACTGAACGATGCTCTGATGGGGATTCTTCGAGTTCGAAACCTCATTAGTCCCCCTTATATCTCCACTGAACCATCACTAAACGTGCACAAAATATCAAGATTCGATCACTTTGTTATAATAGGCAGCGATGGTTTATTTGACTTCTTCAACAATGAAGAAGCTGTAAAGCTCGTCCATTCCTACATCTCGAGCACCCCATCTGGAGACCCCGCAAAATTTCTCGTGGAACAGCTGGTGATCAAAGCAGCTCGTTCTGCAGGTACATTTGAACAATGAACATAAATCATCCATGTCTTTCCTTTATTCGCTTTTTTATGTTGCTGTTATTACTATCATAGGTTTCAGTAAGGAAGAATTGTTGAACATTCCGGCTGGTAGGAGGAGGAGATACCATGACGATGTTACCGTTATCGTGATTATTCTTGGAACGAATCATCGAACTTCGAAAGCATCAACCTATTTGTGAAGCTTATGTACTATTTTTCTCCGCATTGCAAATAGCAGTAGTAGATCTAGCAGTCTTGAATCACAATATGTTTTCGTTTCAACTTGTATATAAGCTTAAATCCGATTTCGTTTTGCTTCGTTTTAAAATCAGAATACTACGTAATAACCGGAAGTTCGTTTAAAAATCGACTAATGAACTGAACCATTATAATTCTATCAACAAGATGTTTGTTCATCCATGAAGAAAAATGACAACATACTAGAATAAGAATGTTATTCCGACTCTTCATTTTTTTTCTTTTTCATATACGAGTCGATGCGTATCTATACATGAGAACAGGGATATGAACACATATCTATATCTGATCACATCCTCTGACCAAAAGGAACAACTTTGTCTTCTCCGTTACCCTCTTTTATGGGTTCATCATTCAAATTTTCCACTTCTTTCTCATTAAACAAACATCTCTAGTGAAGTGTAAATTTGGGCTTGGACCGTCATAACTGTGAGATTGTAAAATAACCATTTTGATCCAATTTCTTTTATAAAATTTAAATTTCAGATTCGAATTTGAATTTTTTTCTCTTTTCCACTAACACGATATGTAAAATGCAGAGTAGGGCTTATGTACTCGAAAACAATAAATAGACGTGGCGTGCAATTTTGAAATATAGGAGGGTCGCTAATAAATAATTGGGGAATAAATGAAAAGGGAAAAAAGAAACATTGCCATTGGTCCATTAGACTCATATATATGATCCTGTTATACAGTGTAAAACTTTTTGATTTTACAGAAATTTAAAACTATTGGATGAGCGAAAACAGACAGTTGGAATACACAGTAATAAATAAGAAGATATTAATTGGAAAAAAAAAATAAGGAGTTAATCTCAATATTCTATTTTCACTCATCCAACGATCTGAAATATGTGTAAAACTAAAAAAAATAATTATATATATATAGAGAGAAAGAGTCAAGTTAGTTTCCAAACATGTGCATACATATCTCATTTGTTTGTCAAAATGGTAACACAAATGCTCCCTTGCTTCACCAATTGTGGTCCCTAAATTCTTAACTATATATATATATATATATATATATAGGTAGGGGCTCTATAAATTTGATAACATTGTGGTTGACGTTAATATCTTGGTATTTTGAATTCGTATGATAATTTTAATTTTTTTATATATATTAGACGTCTTGGAGAGTCTAAATATATAAAATTCTTAATGATCTCTTTGTTACACAAACTCTTTAATGTTCATAATTTTATATATTTAGACTCTTTGAGATATCTTGTGTGTTTTGTTTATGAAGACTAAGGATAAAATCATATATAAACATCCAGAAAATACAATATCTAATGTTCATATTTCGATTTTGTGAATTTACACAACGACTCTCTCGACAAGGAAGTAGAAGAAACATCATCGTTCATTCATAGCACACAAGGGAAAGCACCATTTCTTATTACAAGGATGACAAAAGCAAAATAATCACTCTAATTTCTTAAATCCTAATAGCTCAAACCCACCACAACTTCTTAAGATCGCATCTTTATTTTAAAAATTCAAAGGTGACGGCAATCATATGTATATATAAATACACACAAACATAAATCATATTCCATAATGGTAAAAAAAACAAAGGAGGACAGTGCATGCTGCAGCCAGCGCAACACTAGGTTTTACATATCCCTAACTTCGAACATGTTCCGGTTTTTAACGACGATGTCGTACATGTGAATGGACTTGAATCTGTTAAAATCCTTGGGAAGAGAGATCAAATGAACAGTGGATCGTTTATGGAACTGAAGGAGATCAGGGTCGTCATAGTACCTCTCCCAACCGAGTGACAACAACTTAAGTTCGAGATCCTCGTAGGAAGTGATCACTTCGTTGGTGGGAACATGCACGAGCACCTTGCGACGGGCACTACTGCTCGAACCCTGTCGGTTACCGTCCAACGGCTCAGCACCAGGGTTCTCGACTAAACGAACCACACCGTTCTTGAAAACCCAAACACCGGACATCTTTTGTTTACCTAACAAATGCTTCTTAGGGGAGAGATATAGGGATTTTAGGGTATATGTACATATATATATATATATATATAGGTGAGTCCTTGAGTTGAGGGACATGATAGAGAGAGAGAGAGAGAGAAGAAAAAGGCTAGGCATTGAGGGACAGGGACACGAAAATATTGTACCATGGATGTGGGCATAAACAAGATTGAAGGGAATCCTTGTTTCTTTTTGGGTTTGGTCCTTTAAATCAACCCCACCATGGGGAATCTTTGTCTTTGAATTTGTTTTCTTGTTGGGAAAAAATTGTATTGGACGTGAGTGAGACTAATAGTTCTAGAGAAACCTAAACGAAAATGATTTTGTATATTTATACAAAGTGTGTCATACTATTATATATATATATATATAATTGTGGGCGTAACTATCAAGTAATTCGTATACACTACGGATTGTCGAGCTATATAAATATAATCTGGAATCCAGGGAGTTTGCAGCAGGGAATCAGAGAAAGAACCCCGAAGTTTATATATATATATATATATATATAGCTAAGCCTCCCATGGTTATTGTATGCAACATGAATAAATGATAAAAGTAGTTGGTTTTCCTTAAAACAAAATCGATACATATATATATACCGAAAAATGTTCAATATAGTGATAAAACATATTACATCTTTAAAGAGAAGACCTAAATTCGAAATTTAAAGACGATATTATTAGAAGAAACACTCAAAAACGATAAATACAAACAATAAAACATATGAAAGATAAAAAAATTTGATACATAAAGGAAATCTTTTTTATGTACATGCTATGTAAAATTTAGACTTCACGACTTTGTCTAGTCGAATGTCATTTACAAAATTTAGGATTTAGGTTTAAAAGATGAATTTAGAATTTAGGGTTTAGAATTAAAATAGATAAAATTATGAAGTCTAAATTATATATATATATATATATATAATCTTTTAAAGTTTTTGTCTTTTAAAATAGATAATGAAATTTTAAATTGATATGATTGAGCCAAAAGTTTTAAATAATACGGATTCGTTAAGTATTTAATCTAAAAAATCGGAGGGCTCAAAACTTTATTTTGACTTAAGTTTAAATTGATAAGAACCTAAAATACTATTAGACCAAAAACTTTGGGAGGGTCAAATTATCTAACTTCAAAATAATAGGGACTCATTTAATATTTAATTTCAAAATTTGAAGAGGACAAAAACCTAATTTAACTTAAATTTAAATTGATATAAACTTAAAATACTATTAGATCAAAATTTTTGAGAAGGACAAGAGTCTCTTTCGCTCTCTATACATTCTCCGACTATGCAAATATATATTTTCTTAAGTGTACATTTGTTTTATGATCCATGATTAGAGTTCTTAACGATTATTATCGATAACGGTATCTCTAAAATTTAGACTCAAATTCTATTATAAACATGCCTTAACACTAGTCCAACATTTTGTTGGTGAATTAAGTAGCCCTAGTATTGTTATTTATGGAAATGGAATTTTAGGAAGGGTGATGGCATGAAAGAATTTGTAAAGGATTAATGTTATTTTTCCAAAATTTGTGAGTGGCTTGTATAAAATGGGGTACATTTAGGTGGGACCAAAAATGGGAGGATTCTCTCTACTTTTGTGGGGGATTGGAGAGTTCTTCTGCTTTGGGACTTCACTTTACTATTGGCCTCCAAAGTATAATTTTGTCATTAATTATTTTCCTCCTAATAAAAGCATTTCAATTACTAATTCTGATATTCGAATTTAAATCTAATAACTATCATTTAGGTTAGTAATAGTTTGAACGGAATAATTTTCTTTTCTCGACAATTCTGATTTTATTAAGGATTTAAATATGTAAACCCAAAACCTAAGTTGCGTGACTCGTTAAGAACTTCCACATACTTGGAGGAAAAGAATACAACACAATTAGGTAGATGCTACGTCTCAACAACGGATTATACGGGCAATCACCTACAAAAGCGACTGTTGAACAGTACATATAGGTTTTCAGCATTTCGCAATTACACACCGGACCTGTGCTAAAGAAGACCCCTTACCACCATGTTTTAAATAGCTCACGCCTACACATCCCTTCTTTAGCTAAGTGATCCGTCATTCCATTCTGTCTTCTAGACACATAATCGAATTTCACCCGTACAATTAAATGAGATAATTATACGTAACACGTCACGTACTCGCATGTTTTTCCTCCTAATTTCAACCATAAAGAGTGCAACCTCAAGCTTTCTCTTTAAACCTAAACCCTAAATCAAATGTGAATGAAATTGAAGGTTTGGATTTATGGCTGATGCAGAAAGCAGAAATCCGGAAGAATGTCGAAGAAGCAAGCAGCAACTTGAAAGTTCGTAAAAGCAAAAGATTCGAGCATCCGATCAAAACCCCAAACCGTGACGCATGGGATTGTAGGACTTTTGGGCACACCATCTTTCTTTTTCCCACCACATTGGTCGCACCATTGGTGTGTGTATATATAGCCAATGCAACCATCTTCCTCCTCGTGACACATGGTCCTATATATATACATATATATATACACCTTACCCCACACTTTAAAGCCAACAACGGCCTCCACACTTCACATGATCCAATATCTCCTAGCCCTATAATTTCCCCTCTTTTTTATTTTTGGGTTTTTTTATATAGTTTATTTGTCATCTTACATTAGAAATTCATCTTTTAGTTGGACCACCCACCAAGAACAGAACTAGGATGAAATTATGAGAGGGACTAAGTTGCTTATTTTTGAAACTAATAAGGTTCTAAAAGGTAATTAAATCACAAAAATAGAGGATTGTGACTTAATTTCACTCATTTCAAATTTGTCACATCCTAAAAAGTAATTAAATCAAAAAGTTAGAGACAATACTTAATTTCATGTAACTTTAAAACTGATAATATCTTAAAAAATAATTAAACCAGAAAATTTAAGGAGGGCTAGGACTTAATTTTAATGGTTTCAAAACTTTTAAGGGCTTAAAATAGAATTAAACCATAAAAAGTTAGAATGGGCAATACCCTTTTCCGCCTCCACGTGGTTCCGTCAATGCCACCCACCCTAATTTTCTCTCTCTCTTTCCTTCGAGAATTTAGTATTATAACCTAGCTATTAGGTAGTAAGGATGGATCGGTAGGTGTGAGCAATAGCCCTTTAAATTTTTTTAATTATAATATGTTTTAGATATTTTTTTTATAATTTTATTAATAATTTATTTTTATTTTTAAGATTTTATAATTTTTTTAATATAAAATTTTACGTTTGTTTCTGTTCTATAGGCTCGATCCAGCCCATCCATGGTTTAATGAATCCACTTTTAATTCAAATCGATATGATTTAACTTGAGTTTTTATTTTAATAATTAAAATAATCAATTAAAATTAAAAAATAAAATAAAATTTTAATATTTGAATTTGATATTTTTTATTTTGATTCCTAATTTTTTAATTCATATTAATCCTTTAATTTCTTTAATTCCTTTAATGATGTGCACTGTGATAAATATCTAGGGATGGGCATTTTAACCCGACCCGACGGGTTTCGACCCGACCCGATCGGGTCGGATTTTTTTTTAAAAATCGGGTTCGGGTCGGGTTTTTTATGTGGTGTTCAGGTCGGGTTCGGGTTTAGGGTGAAAAAAATCCGATCCGACCCGACCCGAAAAAAATATAATTTTACCCTATATATTTAGAGATAATTACAATAATACCCCTCTGTATATATATTTTTTCAATTAAGTCACTTTTTTTATTGAATAAAAATATTTTTTTTATTATTTCGGGTCGGGTCGGGTCGGGTTTTTATGTCATATATTCGGGTCGGGTGAAAACTTGTTTTGGTCGAGTCGGGTCTCGGGTGGAGACTCTTGCTATCGGGTCGGGTCGGGTGCAGTACTCAATCTGGATTAGTCGGTCAATAGATCAGATACCAGTGAATAATTTAAAAAAATAAATCAAGAAATTATTTTGCCCATGGAAAATAAAAGGAAGGATTTATTAATTTTTTTAGGAATCATGTCATCCTTCTGTTAGAAGTTAGTAACACAATGACCAAAATAATTCAATTAATCAAACAGCCGAAAGATAAAACATGATCTAACTAATAGTTAAGTAGCCGTGGATGTAGTTTACCCTTTTTTTTATCGAATGTTAAATTAATTTTCAAACTTCTTTGGATGTTATACACGAAGAATTAATACGAATATATATATATATATATTGAATAGTTTATGATGATTATAAGGTAGTATATGTTTATGATTTCTCTTAACTATTGAGAACGCACATATACTGTAAATACAACTGATTAAACCTAAGACTTCAAAAGAGAACAATACTCTCCTTTTACTATTGAGACAACATATATTCAAAATTATATCATAATATCAAAATTTATATAATATAAAATATTTCGATAACAACATAAAATAAGTCACTAAAACTTTATATTATCGTTTCAAAACAAGATTATGATATAATGAGATATATGAATGTATAGTTTATTATGACATGCTACATCAACTTTTGAAATATTTTCTTCTAGACCCCAAATTAATTCCACCACTAGAAGAAAAGGTTAGGTCTCTCAAAGCTCAATCATCACTTGTTACAACCCCATGTGATTGTGCCATAGAGAAAAGCCAAAATTTTTGTATTTAACCAAACAATATACCTCAATTGATATCCCTTTTCCCATATGTACCTGTATAGAGACGGACACATGATTTTATATTAAGGAATGAATTTATAAATTTTTAGAGATGAACAAATTTATAAAATTTTAGGAGAATAAAAATAGATTATTAATAAAAAATACACATAAAAAATTAAAAATAAAAGAATTTAAAAATTTTAGAAGAAACGACTGTTCTCGCCCACCTTCTATGTACATCCCTTTATATGTATGTGCCTTTTCCTATTAACCTCACCTTTTTTTTTTTCTTTAGCAAAAGCATGCATCCATCTTATTCACTAAAGTCACTTGTTGTTTGGTTTCCTCTTACATCA